AATTGATCGAAGAAGCAAAGGGAATCGTCGTCGGGGTCTCGCGCTCGACTCAACCAAGACGTGGTATCAGAGCCCGGCTCCAACAGCAAGGGCTTAACTGCCTGCGGAGAAGATGAGTTCAAGCTCGGCGAGCGGAATTTTCATGACGGACGGATTCTCTCAAACTCGACCACCGAGGTTTGAAGGAGTTCACTACGGATACTGGCGAAATCGAATGGAGCTATTCATTTGCTCCACAGATCCTGATCTGTGGGACATAGTAATGGATGGGCCTTTGGAGGTGAAAGAGGCTCTTGGAAAGTGGACTGAGACAAATAAGAAAAATTTTCAGATGAATTCAAAGGCCACGAACCTGATATACTGCGCGCTGGGTCCCGAAGAATATCACAGGGTAACCGGATGCAAGACCGCCAAGGAAATTTGGGACAAGCTGCAGATCGCACATGAAGGCACTTCACATGTCAAGATCTCCATAATCGACAGTCTCAAGCAAGAGTTTGAATCCTTCAATATGAAGCCCGAGGAGTCAATCAAAGAAATGAACGAGCGGTTCACCACAATAATCAACAACCTGAGAAATCTGGAAGTTGAATATGCGAGTGCTGACTTGGTAAGGAAAGTACTGTGGGCACTTCCCAAAAGAAGGACTCCTGAAGTTACTGCTATTGAGGAGTCTAAGGACCTTACCAAGCTAAGCCTAGATGAGCTCATTGGTTCCTTAGTCACACACGAAAAAAAACTAAAAAGGGAGGATAGTGAAGAACCCAGAAAAGAGAAGAAAGGAATCGCATTCAAGGCCTTCTCTCAAGAAGATGACTTAGATTGCTTGGAAGAAATGGAAGATGATGAGTTGGCCATGCTCACTAAACACGTGGCCAAGCTGCTTCGGATTAGAAGAGAAAAGAAAAGAGGGAGTTTTCTAAACAAGCCAAAAGAGGGTGAAAATGAAAAGGAATTCAGTCGACCCAGCAGGTTCGGACCAAAGAACAGGAGAGATGGAATGACCTCAGAGAGAACATCAACTCAGTTTGGGTGCTTTAAATGTGGGAGGCTTGGACATGTCAAGGCAGAGTGTCCACTAATGAAGAAAGAAAAGGCGTATGCAGCAACCTGGAGTTGTAGTGAGGAAGATGAAGACGAAGATGACACCAAGCAAGAGGCTTATATGCCAATTGAAAGAAGCGACATTGAAGAAAATGAGGTACACACTGAATTCTATTATTCTGACTCATTTAGTGAAAGTGATCAATTAGATGAAACAATCATGGATATCCAAAATGAATTTATAAAGGTGAAACAAGGCATATCTTGATAAAATCTAGATATGAAAAATTGTTAGATGATGTCTCAAAAATAGAAGCCGAGAAAACAGAAGTAGAAAATAAGCTTGTATTTGCTATGACTGAGAATGATAGATTGAAAGAAAAAATTAGTATAGCCGTGGCTAAAGTTGAAAACTTAAAGGCTGAGAAAGCTAATATTCTATTAGAAAGAGGGGGCAAGAGAAACCACAGAATAAAGCATAAAGTTAGAAAATCTGAATGCTTTTACTGTCATAAGACTGGTCATTACATTGCTGAATGTAGAAAACGTTTAGCAAAAGAAAATCGAGCAAATAATGTAAACTGTTTTAACTGTCATGAGGTTAGACATTCGAGTAAAACTTTCTCAAAATATTTTCAAATGGGAAGGGTAACCAAATTGGTTTGGGTACCTAAAAACAAATGAAATTCATTATTTTGCAGTCCTGTCTCCAAGTGAGCATGGCAGACAGCGTTTGGATACTAGATAGTGGTTGCTCACATCACATGACTGGGGATAAAAAGCTCTTCTCAAAATTGGTTCTAGGAAAGAAAGGTAAAGCCTTTTTTGGTGATAATTTTAGCACTGAAATCTTAGGAAAAGGGCAAGTAGGAACCATACCTTCAATTAATAATGTCATGATAGTTAAGAATCTTAAACATAACTTAATTTCAATAAGTCAGATGTGTGGAGACACAAATAGGGTAATCTTCGAACCAGATAGGTGCTATGTGGAAGAAATTTCAAGTGGAAATGTGCTTTTCACTGGAAAACGGAAAGGAAAACTCTTTACAATAGATCTGAACGATAGAGCTGCATTCAATGAGACTTGTCTGGTATCTGTGGATAAAAATGATCAAATGGAATGGCATCGTAGGCTAGATCATGTCAGTGTGAGCACTCTGTCAAGATGGGTAAACCTAGACCTGGTTAGAGGAATAACTAAAATCAATAGTAAGAAGGAATTTTTCTGTGATGCCTGTGCTAGAGGAAAACACTCTCGAACATCTTTTAAAACTAAGGTAGTCATTTCAACAAACAGATCTTTAGAATTACTTCATCTTGACCTGTTTGGACCAAGTAATATAAAAAGTCTAGGTGGCAAATACTATGCATTTGTCATTGTAGATGATTTCTCCAGATATACTTGGGTACTTTTCTTAACCAGTAAAGATGAAGCCTTGACTGAATTCAAACATTTTGCTGCCCGAGTAGAAAATGAAAAACAGTAAAAAATAATTAGTATTAGAAGTGACCATGGTGGAGAGTTCATATCTGAAAGCTTTGAAAAGTTCTGTAACGAAAAGGGAATCTCACATAATTTTTCTGCTCCAAGAACCCCACAGCAAAATCGTGTTGTTGAAAGGAAAAAACAAAACCTTGATTGAAATAGGAAGAACTATGCTTAATGACTATGGTGTATCTAAGGAATTCTGGGGGGGGGGGGAAGCTATTAACACAGGCTGTTACATAACTAATAAGGCGTTGATCAGATCCAAATTAAACAAAACACTCTATGAATTATGGAAGGATAGAAAACCTAATCTAGGTTACTTTCATCCATTTGGATGTAAGTGTTTTGTCTTGCTTACTAAAGATAAACTAGGAAAATTTGATTCAAAGTATGATGAAGGAATCTTCCTGGGATATTCTATAAACAATAAGGCTTATCGTGTCTATAACAAAAGGACCCTCAAAGTTGAGGAGTCCATTAATGTGATGTTTGATGAGTCTACAAGTAAGTGTGCAGAGGTATTGGAAGGACTCAACCTGAGTCATTCCAAGGGAACTGTTCCTGCTCCTGTCAGTCAGGAATCTGTTCAAGAGGAAATTCCTGAAGTGGTGCACAAACCAGAAGCTCCTCCTCATATCCAGAAACGGCATCCACCCTCTCTTGTGATTGGAGACCTAAACCAAGGTATGATTACTCGCTCTAAATCCTATCCTGAGCACACTGCCTTCATTTCCTTGATAGAACCTAGAAGTATTGAGAAAGCCTTAGAGGATGAATACTGGAATGCTTCAATGCATGAAGAGATGCATCAGTTTGAACGAACCAAGGTCTGGAGCTTAGTTCCAAGACCTAAAAACTGAACTATAATTGGAACTAAATGGGTCTATAGGAACAAATCTGATGAAATTGGAATCATTATAAGAAATAAGGCTAGGCTAGTGGCTCAGGGGTATAACCAAGAAGAGGGAATAGACTTTGATGAGACATTTGCACCAGTAGCTAGATTATGAGCAATAAGATTGTTATGTGCTTTTGCTGCCTCAAAGGGTTTTAAATTATATCAAATGGATGTAAAAAGTGTCTTTCTGAATGGAGATTTAAAAGAAGAGGTATATGTGGAACAACCTCCTGGTTTTGAAAACCCTGAACACCCAGAGTATGTGTATAAACTAAATAAAGCATTGTATGGACTTAAACAAGCTCCTCGATCTTGGTATGATAAGTTAAGTCAATTCCTAATAGATGATGGGTTTCACAAGGGACAGGTAGATAAAACTCTATTTATTAAGAAAAAGGGTAAAGATACCTTGCTCGTGCAAGTATATGTAGATGATATCATATTTGGATCTTCCTGTGAACAAATGTGCAAAGACTTCGCAGAAACAATGAAAGGAGGTTTTGAAATGAGTCTGAGGGTGAACAAAACTTCTTTTTGGGATTACAGATTAAACAAACCAAGGATGGGATATTCATTAGTCAAACCAAATACCTCAATAATATGCTTAAAAGGTTTAACTTTAATAATCTCAAATCCATTTCGACTCCTATAGGATCCTCAATTAAACTCACCAAAGATGAGTCTGGAAAAAGCATAGATAGTAGGCTGTACAGAGGTATGCTTAGTTCTTTGCTTTACTTGACTGCAAATAGACCAGATATCATGTACAGTGTATGCATTTGTGCTCGTTTTCAGAGAAATCCTAAGGAGAGTCATCTTTCTGCTATAAAGCGGATTTTTCGGTATCTTGCTGGAACTTCTAGTTTAGGACTCTGGTATTCGAGTACCTCTAGCTTAAAATTGATAAGCTACAGTGACTCAGACTATGCAGGTTGTTCTGTGGACAGGAAAAGCACCTCAGGTGCATGCCATTTTCTTGGTACTTCTCTTATAGCCTGGTCTAGCAAGAAACATAGTTTTGTTGCTCTTTAAACTGCAGAAGCAAAATACGTTGCAGCTGGTTTGTGCTGCACACAACTTCTCTGGATGAAATATCAACTCAAAGACTATGGTCTGGTTTATTTTATGTTCTGATCTCTTGGTCTGGTCTAGACTGCGGTTTATCGGACCAAACTGTGGACCCAACCGACTTGTCAATACGTGTTAATAGCCCATTCGATCACCCTCCCAACTCACACAACGACACCCAAATCTCAACCTTAATTTTGAGAATCTCGTCCCTCCTTCGTTCACAACCACATTTAACCAGAGAGTAGAGATAATCGTGTCTCCATATGACATTATGTTAATGTTTATAACGTTATGGTGCAAGTTTGTATGCTTTTACTTTGTATTTTTGTTATTTCTAAGACCGCACAGGCGTGGTCTGGACCGGACCGTATAATCTGTGGTCTGGTCTATGGTCTATACTTTAGCCTCTCGGTCTGGACCATACACCGTATATATAGTCTGGTCTGGACAAGACCGCACCGTTTCCCAGCCCTGATTGGGAGGTACTATCCTTCCATGTTATCTGCGGGTCGTCTTGCTGATCAGTTCAAAGTGCTCCACTTTTTCATCTTAAGGATACTACTTCCTCGCAGTATCTCTCAAATTGAACTTGTGCATCCTGCTGACGCTTGGATTATGGCCAATGCTCGAGATGGGATCCAACTCAACTTCTCTATGCTTATGTTTGCTCATATGATCAACTATGGTGACGAAAATTACTCTGGCCCTCTCCCATTTGGTCCTCAAATCACTCGTCTCCTGCATAGGGTAGAGATTGATCTTTGTGATAAACTAATTGTATGTGATGTCCGAGAGGACCTGCGTGCTCAACACATCCTTACTGGTGTTAATGCCCAAGTTGGTAGGAGAAAGCCTTTCATTTGCTCAGGGGGAGAGCCTGCTGATACCCCTGCTCTTTTGGAGGCTGCACCTGCAACATCTGATCCCGGGCATTTGGTTCCTGCACTCCTGGAGGCTGTGTCTGCAGTTTTTGACAGAATCACTGTTGTCAAGCGCAAGGAACTAATCAGTCTAGAGCTTCATCATGCTCAGATCAAGAAGGTAAAGGATTCTGAGTCATTAACCACTCAGGAGGAAGAAGCAAAGGGTATATCTGACTATCTCCACCCGAATATGATTTTTGAGTGGAGAACTAGTTTAGGGGAAGTGACTAGTCTAGGGTGAGTTCATAAGGAGGATCTAGTTAGGGTAGCTTTGAAGTTTTGTCGTTGGTAGGTCATTGTGTCAGTGTTAGGTTAAATCGATATGTTCTCTGCAGTCTTTTCAAATAAAATGAACTTCTCTTTTATCTAGTGTTTCGTTGTTCCTGTGAATGAATGGTTTGTATAGAACAGGCTGCAACAATCGTTTGTTAAGATGTGCAGGTGAGTTATGGGATCAGCGCATTAGAGCAAATGACATGCTTAGGGGCATAATGTTGAGTGAAGGAAGTTGCAGATTGCATCACTCTTTGAAGTATGAAGAGACATACAAGGAAAGTTGGCCAACTATACAGATTATGATCAAGCAGAAAGGGAAAGAATAAATCACTTACCCTCATCAGTCTGATTCACCTTTAACGGCTCTCAACTCAGCAGCAATATATGGTATGAATGAGAGATTAGTAGAGGTCAAGTTTTTCCAAGCGATCAAAAACAAAAGAGAGTGCTAGAAAGAGCGAAAGTCTTTTGTGTAATCGTGAAAGCAAATTGGGGAGATTAGCAGGGAAAAACAAGGGTGATTGAATGGGGAGGTTGAATCACTAGAGATTAGTCGTTTGGTCGATCAGCAGGGAGCTGGTTCAGAGTTCTCCAAAGTTTGTAAGAAGAAAACAAATCATAGTGATTAAGTAGGAGATCTCAAGAGGAGAGTCTCCTACCGTGGATTAGTCGGTGTTAGGTTCATTAATCACCTAACATTGGATACCACGTAAAAATACTGTGTCTGTGTTCATTTGTGTTTTCATTCTGCTACATCTTATTTCCAGTTTGTATTTGTGTTCTTGGTTTAGTGCGTGTTCAAGTTCTTGTGCAGAACAGGTCTTGATCGATTTGCACAAGGTGAGAAGAAGGAAACTGAGTCTGTGAAACGCAGTGTTCCATGCAAGTGATCTGGGCCAACTTAAAATCGACAGATTGAGAACAAACTAAGCCCAACCCACTTCAAGACTCAGTTTTGAATTCGTTGTCGTTTTGGTGAGCATGAAAGGGAAGTCAGTTTACCCTTTCATCGATTCGTTTTTCTGTTTATTCCACTTTCTTCACTTGTTCTTGCCAAAATCAAAATTAGGGTTAAGTAGAGTCTTAATTGATTGGAGAAGCGGAGGGAATCATCGCCGGAGTCTCGCGCTCGACTCAACCAACAGTTCTTACCCTCATTAACCACACTACCCTCTGATGGACATTCACTACTACTTCCCTATGAAATAGATCCAACAACCTAGAAGTACTGGAGTTTGTGCTGGAGCTAGAGTTAGATCCTCCATTACCATCACCATCTTTCTGCATCTCTTGTTTCCTCTTTAACTTCCAACAATCATGAATAATGTGATTGTTCCTCTTGAAAAATCGACAAAACTTCTTGTTCTTGCCTTCACCAGAATCTTGTTGGTTATTGCCACCAACTGCTAAGGCTAGTGTTTGACCTTTCTTTCCTCCCATTATTGCATCATCCTTTAAACTCTGTTCATGTTGAAGTAAATCATCCACAGTTGTGGACACTAATAGCAGAGGTTTTTGAATAAGAATTTGTGTCTTAATAACTTCATACCCAGGATTGTGTCTAAATGAAATAGTCTGTCGCTTGCTTCTGCACAAAGGAAACTACAACTGCACAAGTAATGAGATTTCCAGGTGAACAATTACAAGGGGTAATAGGGGAGAACTCCACATATTCATCCCAAAGAGAGAGCTTTGGGTGTTGTGTAGTACTGATTGATGGTTCGGGAACCCTGTTTACATGCTTAAATCTCATCCTCTAAGTTTGCAATTCTTAGGGCATTGGGCTGGCCAAAACGCATTTTCAACTCGTCCAACAATGTCTTGGAACTGTTATGATTCAACACAAATCTTCTAAGCTCTTTAGTCATAGATTTTTTAATCCAACATAAGAAAACTGTGTAACAGGCATCCCACAAACCAAATAGATCTGGGTCCCTAGGAGTAGGAGGTGCTGGAATTGACCCATCAACAAACCCAACTTTGTTCTTTGTATTCAACATCACTAGCATAGATCTACTCCACATCACATAGTTGGTACCATCGAAAAGCTTAAAAACTAAGGATTGAGTCATTTTTTATTTGGGTTAAGATAATAAGGATTAGCGAAAACAATGGTCTCTGGTTGCATATGGTTCTGATCAAAAGTACAAAATCGGTAAGCTATTGTTGTTGTGGCTCCACTACAGCTGCTCCCATTGTTCGACGTCCTTGGTTGTGGAGTCTGTCCTCCTGAGATCCCGTCGTCTTCAACTGGAGAACCCTATAGTTCTTCCAGCTATGATACCATAATGATTTTGGATGTAAGATTGGGGAAAGGAGCTTAGATAACACTCAGTCTTTCCTTCAGCTTATATAGTTCGACATTGTAATTAAACCAAACAACGACAGATGTCACTACACCATTTGTCCAAATTAGACAAAACAGTTATATTTAACGGCTAACTAACAATAAAAACTACGTTGCCAATTTTCCTCCACGACACCGTTTCCTTTTTCTCTTCTTTCTTCGCGTCCTGTTGTGATTAGGATTCCTCTACTGTGTTAAGCCATACCAGGTGAAACTCAATCCTCTGTCCATCTACTCTGTCATACGCCTCGAGGCTTAGATGATGGGGACATGGGGAAAGAGACAAGTACTTGATTTCTGACATCACCGGATTCCACAAAATGATGTTGCCGATGCCGATATGGTTCATGTCAAAGATGCAAAATATGTCGTCGCAGCACCCGGCGATGTCCATGCGGAACTCCGACCTATAGTTGCGCACCTTGTAAGGGACGGAAGGCAGAGGATGATGATGGTAATAGATCGCGGACCAGGACAGATATGAGAGCGGACGAATTGGGGATATGAGAGCAGGGCAAGCCATTATTTGTAGACGCAGCGAAACAGAAGATGTTCATCCCCTGTTTTGGAGACTATGAAGCATAGGGTTTTGTAAGAGTGCAAGGAGTAATAGATCGAGGGCCAGGACGGATATGAGAGCACATGAATTGGGGATATGAGAGCAGGGCAAGCCATGATTTGTAGACGCAGCGAAACGGAAGATGCAACAGGCGATTGGCAGTTGGAGAAGAATTTTGGTCGTTATGTCCTTCTTAAGAAATCCCTCCGACGACGCGCTTTCGTTGTTGTCGATTGCCGCCATTGTTGGACCAAAGAGTCAGAAAGATAGAATGAGGGGCGCCAATATGAGAAAGGAAATGAGAGAATGATGGATCAAATAATGTCAATGGTTAGGAGAGGAAGACGAAATTTGGACATTGGAGAGAAACTGCAAAAGTAGTTTGCTGACTTCTGTCCAAAGTTAGATCATCAATGCCTTTCAGAGTGCCACTAATTGTTTTCACATCATAGCCTTCAAAATCGCCCGCCCTTAGTATTAATCTGCTTTAATTACCGCCCATGATATAGCAGTAGGTTCTTTGTTAGGACAACAACAAACCTAGTAAGGTGTATTGTTTCAATTAGGATGAGATAAAACATACAATATAAAGAACTCATCTCAAAACACGAGCTAGAGCACCAACCACATTATGGGGAAGTCATCATGTGATCTCACCGTGTGTTAAGTTAGAATCTGTAGGCTTGAGCTTACCAGAAGTTGCCTACATCTTAGTGTCCTACTTTGATACTATGTTCGGTGAATTTACTGAGTGGAATAGTGGGATAGTCATTGGAAATCGGCTGTGAGCGTGCAGGGAATCTGACAAGCCAAGACTAAATATTGTCCCTCCTAATTAAAGGAGTAAGATGTCATCAGGCCATTCGATGAATATGTCTATGAATTGGTTGGCTAACCATAAGTCAAATTATGTGAATCATTGACAATGAAATCAATATGAATATATGAGATCGATATAAAGATGTATCTATAACAAGCATGACTAATTCATGGCTTGAATATCATCTTTGAGGTTCATACATTACAAAATGTTCACAAAAGATGATGATCAAGTTCTTTCCTCCCTTTTTGACTGTGTGGTATTGATGTGTTGTTAGGCGCCACTCAATGTATATGACATTAGCTAATTCATTGCTAATGAAACAAAGGTCAGCTAGTCGCACATCACATATACAAATGGAAAGGCATCATAGGTTATACAAGGAAGTTTAACTAAACAAAGATTGACCATGAATCCTTAGATGATAAGGATCGTAGTACTAACTAGATGATTTTTGTCAATTTCTATGTGATCATGATCCCCAACTGGTCGAGGGAGTTTACTAATGGAATAAGGATCACTGAGATGAGACCGGTGCAACAATTTCTTATCCTTAAGAGAAAAATGAATCCATTCCATACAAGGATTAATTTTATATAATGAAAAATAAATTAACAATATTTATCATTTATTATAAAAAAGTAAAAAAGATGATTGTTAATTAAGTTTAAATTATTGAAATATCATGATAAAATAAATAATTGACAAAAAATAATTAATTACTGCTAGACATGTAAATTAATTAGTTAGTTTATCAAAATAGCTTATCCAGTCTCCTTTGTTCGTGTTCTATAGGAAACCCTTCGCGATGGCTACCTCGTCGTCGGCTCCTTCGCCGGCTGGCGAGGGTTCTTCGACTTCCTAGGCTCATCTTGTCTCGGTGGCTCTGAAGAAGCATCTTACATATCGCCCCCTGAGAAGGTTAAGGATGGGTTTCGATTCTTCAGGCGGTGAAAGAGAAGGGCGCTGAGCGATGGAAGATGTCCTTGGTTGGGCAATTCGTCGGGAAGCGACTGAAGGTTACGGAGCTCTAGTCTTGGGTTAACTGACTTTGGGGGAGAGACGGCTTGGTGTGTGTTTCACGTTTTGGTCCTAATATGCTGGTTTTGCAATTTCCATCGAGTTCTTCTTGTGATTGGGTGTTTAAATCGGGGCCTTGGCATTTTAGGGGTAACCCGGTTTTCTTTCGAAAGTGGGAAGTGGGTATTCAGCCTATCGTGCCGAAGGTATAATCGTTACCAATGTGGGTTAAAATTTGGGGGTTACCTCTGGAGTATTTGGGACATGATGGTATAGAATGGGTGCTAGTACTATGGGGAGGCCTCTTTGGACTGATCAAAAAACTAGGTTTGGAGATCAGTTGGGGTTTTTGAAGGTTTGTTTTGAGTTGGCAGCTGATTATGATTTCCCAGGACGGATTAGATTGTACACGGACAATGATCCTGATTTTGAGATTGAAGTGGAGTATCTGCAGCTTCCAAGAGTTTGTTCAAAATGCTGTCTGTTTGGCCATAGTTGTCCTCAGGAACCTCGTAGAGAGTGGAGAGTGAAAGAGAAGGTTGCTATAGAGGTATCTGCAGAAGTATCCTAGCATATGGAGAACCTGAATGGTGAGACTAGTGAAACTGTTGAGAATGGAAGAGAAGCTCCTGTGAATGATGAGACTGTTGAAACTGTTGAGAATGTTCAGAATGGGAGAGAAGATCCTGTGGAAGATTTGCTTGTTCAGATGGTGGGTGTTGAACAGTTGGTTGTAGGTATAAATGCTGTTGGTGGGGCTACTATGGTCTCTGAGGCAATGGAAAAAGCTACTTAGGCTCTTTCATCAATTGGGAGTCCTCCTCTGAGTTTTTCTTAGATAGTTAGGGGATCAGCGCCTTCAGGTGGGAGTCCTGTTACTACTGGGCAAGTTGCTGAGACTGGGAAGTCACCAGTTTATGGGAGCTTGCAGTCCCAGCATGCTCGGGGGGGGGGGGGGGGGGGGGAGGGAGTTGTAATGATCAAGGACAAAGAGAATATCAAGCCTCCAGATAAAGGGAGGAATAGTTGGGTTGACTCTCCCTTGATCCCTCATCAACCAAAGAAAGGAGGCAAAGGTGGCAAGGGAAGAGGTAAGAAATGAGAATTATTACTTGGAACACTAGAGGATTTAAGGCAGATAGTAAATATATAGCATTACTAAAGAAAATAAACAAATATAGTATAGACATAGTAGCTGTTCTTGAACCTAGACTAAGAGCCTCTGAGACATATAAGTTGGTTGAGAAGCGCTTTCCAGACTGGGAGACTAAGATAAAGCATAATGACTCTGGATTGGGTAAGATTTGGTTGGCCCGGAAAAAGGATATTCCACTTACAGTTTTGCACTCTTCTGACCAGTTTGTTCAGCTCATGGTGGGGGGTGCTCAACCCTTCATTGGGACAATAGTTTATGCAGCAAATGATGAAGCCCTTAGGCAGGATCTCTATAATGAACTAAGGAGGATTAGAGTAATTGTTGCTCCCTTTATAGTAATGGGGGATTTCAATGATATTATACATCCTTCAGAAGCCTCAAACTCACCTAGAATTGATGCACCTATGTCTTTCTTTAATGTCTGGATAAATGATCTGGAGTTGGAGGAGCATCAGGCCACTGACCCTTGGTTTACCTAGCTTAATAAGCAGGCAGCTAACCCGATTGTAAAATGTTTGATAGAGTTCTAGTTAATTTCTTATGGTTGGACTCAATTAAAGACAGCAAGGTTCATTTTCAGGCTCTAGGTGTTTCGGAACATTGCCCCATGTATGTTGATACTGCTGCTGAATTGAAGTCGATTCCAAAGCCATTCAAAATTTTCAAATTCCGGATTCATCGTCCTAAATTCGATGAATTACTAGAAGAGGCTTGGAGGAGTAATGTGACTGGTCACCCGCGATAAGAGTCAGTTAGAAATTGAAGAACTTAAAGACTTTACTGAGAAAGTTGAATACAGAGGAGTACTAAGATATGTCTGAGAGAGTAAAAGAGAAAGAGAGGGCAGTTAATGACATTCAGCAGCAGGCCCTTGCTACTCCATCTACAGACCTGTTTGAAACAGAAAGAAAGTTGGGATTGGAACTGAGGGCTCTGTTAGATGCAGAGGAGTCTTTTTATAACCAGAAGTCTAGAGAGAACTAGCTCAAGATAGGAGACATGAATTCTGATTTTTTTCATCGTGCAGTTAGAGTGAAGCAGAGGATAAGTACTATAAGGGTTCTCAAGAATGAGGAAGGGGAGAAATTTACTGAAGTTGGAGAGATGGCTCAGATTGCAGTTCGATTTTTATCAAAGGTTATTGGGGGTCGAGGATTCTGAAGTTGCTGCTCAGCCTGATGAGTACTTTGATGCCTTGCTGAGCAGGAAGCTCTCTAAGGAGCAGATTGAGGGGCTCTGTGAGCCTTTTACAAGTGAACAGATAAAGGAAGTGATTTTTGCTATGGATGGTGATAAGAGCCCAGGCCTAGATGGGTTTTCAGCTGCTTTTGTCCAATATGCCTGGCCTCTCATTGGTCCCGAGGTATGTTCAGCTATCCAATTCTGCTTTGAACAAGATAGAATTCCTAGGCCTATAAATGCAACAATCCTATCTTTGATTCCCAAAAGTCTCAAACCCAGATGAGATGAAAAATTTCAGACCAATTTCCTGTTGCAATATCCTCTACAAATGCATATCTAAGCTCATTGCCAACAGACTTAGTTCTCTTCTTCCTTTCGTGATAAGTAGCCAAACAGCTTTTGTCAAAGGAATACTAATTGAAGAGAATATTCTATTAGCTCATGAATTAGTTAGCAGATGCTCTCACCAGAATGTATCTCCTAGATGTGCTATTAAAATGGACTTGATGAACGCATTTGATTCGGTTGGCTGGAGTTTTATCTTTCAAGTTCTAAGATGTATGAAACTCCTAGAAAGATTTGTGAACTGGATTCGTATGTGTGTGGGGACACCTATGTTAAGTGTCTGTTTCAATGGGGGTTTAGTGGGGTATTTCCCCGCTAAGAGAGGGTTCAGACAGGGAGATCCCTTGCCTCCCAATCTCTTTTCAATAGCAATGGAAATCTTCTCCTGTCTCATTGAAAAATCTGCGAGTGAGGGATGTTTTCCATACCATCCCATGTGCAAAGGGGGTTAAACTTACTCATCTTTGCTTTGCTGATGACCTGCTGGTCTTTTTGGATGCTTGCAACTCTGGTATTCAAGAATTGCAGAGAGTGTTATCTCAATTCAAAAGAATCTCAGGTCTCAAATCAAATCCTAGTAAATGTGTGATCTTTTTTGGTGGTCTAGATGAGGATGAAAAGAAAGTAAGAGCAGATAGATTTGGATATCAGCTGGGAGCTTTCCCTATTCGTTATTTAGGGGTTCCTCTAATCTCGGGTAAGCTGAGTTTAAATGCTTGTAGACCTCTGATTGACAAGCTTGTGGCAAGGGTGAGGATTTGGTAGGCCAAGTCTCTCACATATGCATGTCGTATTGAATTGGTTGGGTAGGTTCTTTATAGTCTGACCCAATTCTGGATGTCTGTTTTTCTTCTCCGGAAAGCAGTCATCAAGGAAGTGGAGAGAATTTGTAGCAACTTTGTCTGGGGGGTTGAAACAGGGTTCAAGCTTAAAGCAAATGTGGCTTGGAAGCATCTTAACTTCCCCAAAAAGGAAGGAGGTCTGGGATTCAGGGATTTATCCAGCTGGAACCAGGCTTGTATGACAAGGCACATTTGGTTGATTCTATTACAAGAAGGTTCTATCTGGGTAGCCTGGATCAATAGTTACAAGCTTAAAGGTAGAAACTTCTGGACATACATTTGTTCTTCTGGTTCTTGGAACTGGCATAAGTTGTTGAAGCTTTGACAAAGAGTTGGTTCGTATATCTCATTCAGGGGTGATGCAATCCTGTTGGATAACTCCCCCATGCCTCTCTTCTCTATTAAGAGGGTTTGAAATCTTCTTCGACCTGCCAGGAGCACTGTCAGCCGGTAGAATATAGTTTGGAAAGGCAAGGGCATACCTAGAAACCGGGTTCTAACGTGGCTGGTTATGAGGGATAGTATTAATACCAAGGTGAAAATGCAGAAATGAGGTTTCTCAGGTGATTTGAGTTGTTTATGTGATGCAAGGGCGGAAGACAGGGATCATATCTTTGTTCATTGTCCTGTCTCCGGGCAGATTTATGTTTCTCTCTTAGGCAGGGTGCTTTATATTCCTCATATGCAGAGCTGGGATGATGAAGCTAACTGGATTACTTTGAGGTTTAGTGTTGCAACTAAAGCTGCTGAAGCGGGAAGAGTCGTTTGGCAGAGCTGGGTTAGTCATGTCTAGAGGGAAAGATGCAGACGTATGTATGCTGGTAACCAGCCACGTTAGATTGATTGTCTGTCTTAGAGGCTGTCGTAGTATTTGTATGTTGTCTTCTACCATTTGGTTAGAATTACCTAGCTAACAGGGTAGTTGTTAGCGCCTTCTTTTTGATGAAATGAAACCTATTGATTCATCAAACAAACAAAAAAGCTTATCCACCAAGATAATATATCTTGGTGACGAATTTATATATTCCCAAATATATAAGGAGATTCCAGCACATAGCCCACTCCATCCTCTTTTTCAGTGTTGTGCGCATAGTGGGGAAGGACCCGTTGGTCTTTTTGCTATTAACTCTATTAATACAGATGACACATATTTTGAGACAATTAAATAAATACTAAATTTTTCCCTTTACTTTTTTTCCAGCAGGGCATTGGAAACACATTACTGGAAGGAGGTGGCAACTTGGATAGTCCTGCGCCCTCCCAAACATATTATAACTCATGTATAAAGAAAAGGGAGCCTTTAAACCGGATCCACTCCCTTATTACTTTTTAGTTATATTTGATTTATTCTAATTTAAATAAAAATCAAATTAATTACACCCTTAAAATTATATCCATTTAGACATATTTTAGATTAAATAGCCGATGTCCTCCGCCACGTGTCTCTTTCTACCTCCGCCTTCCTCAGGCTATTCTCCAGCTCGACTCGCTGCTTGGGTCACCTCGGTTTCCTTGCTTCACAATCGCAGATGTTGAGACTTGAGATGGGAGCAAAGTAAGGTTTTATAGCCGTTGTCGATAGCTCAATTGCTATCTTCCCTCTGAGGAATCTCGTCCCCATCCCCCACTGCTCCATGACAATCGATCGTCGATGGTGTCGTTTGAGTTCAGCTGCCAGTGGTCTGGACAACTGCGCAAATAATTGGAAGAGTAAAGCGGCAAGAGTGAAGGGAATAAACTTGTTTCTAGAATTTTAGGGGATTTATTTTATCTTTGTATGGTTGAATTGGGAAGTGATTAGTGAAGGGAGGGGGATTTTGAACGTGCTGACTGTTGAATGAGGGGATTCTGTGATGAAGATGGTCGACGGGAAGGGGAGTGCGGCGGAGAATAAGGGTTAGAGAATTTCACCATTTAATTTATTATTATTATTATTATATGTTTATAATATCTATGTGGCAAGGTCAACCATTTGATTTCTTGCCACGTCATAAAAAATCATTCACGTCATCTAACATTTTGCCACATCATAGTCAACTAACGGTCAAACGGATGGAAAGTTAATGGATTGGCTATTATTTTGATTTTTAAAAGGTTTGGCTATTAAATTGTATTTACCCTAGATTTTAATATGGATCCTATGTGCTCATATATAACAGCCCCACTAGCTACTCATTATGCTTTTTTTTAATTCCTTCCTCAACTGATCATGTCATTGTAAGATAACTTTTAGTGCAAGAGAGTTATCTCATCCTTAATATGATCTATTATGAAACCCATGAGTTATGAAAGGAATATGAGTGTTACATTTGATTCAGTTGGTTATAAGAATAAGGAGTTATCAAAGATTAATAACTCCAAAGAGTTATGTTCCTATTGTAACTCTTCCATGATGGATGGTTGAGATGAAGTGTAGGGATAAAACTTAATAGAAATTTTGTTTCTCTCTCCACCTATAAATTGTATGCTTTGTACCATCACAATAGCATAGCATCAGAAACACATATATCAAGTGACTTATAGGCTAGGAGAGACATTGCTACTTCTTCATAAGCTCTCTCTCAATCACCATGGAAGGAGGTATTCTTCTAATCTCTTTTCTATTTCATGTGATTATCATGTTGTTCTATCGATCTTAGGGTTTCATGTAAATTCAAGGTTTACAGTCATGAGATCAACCTCTACCTATACCATTAGTGATTCCACCAGATGAGTAACTTAGAATGATTTACTTTTTGGTATTATATCAGAGTTTTTGATTCACAGGTCTCGTGTACGAGTCATTGTGACCTCTAATATGAGCAATTGAGTTAAATAGAATTGTGTATGTTAGCTAGTTGTACAAAAATTTCAAATCGTGAGTTTGCCTGCAGTATAGAATAACATCCCTACCTTGAGCTTTCTCACCGACTGATGTAAGTTAGCTGGAAGTACATTTATATATAAATTAATTTTGTTGCAGATTATTTAGCTTTTTTGGGAGAGAATGTATTCGCTGCACTTTCCGATCGACCCCTTGGTTATTAGTTGCGCTTTGATTTGATCAAGGATGAAACTCCTGTTGGAATAAAATGCTATTGTGAGTGTTGAGTGCTGCTTAAACTTGTTAAAGAGTGGTAATAAGATACATGTTAATGTTCTCCCAAACAACTTGAGTTATTGGGATCAATTGGTTCACGACATAGTATCAGAGCTAGTTTGGCCAAGTGGTCGTGTGTTCGAATTTCCACCACCCTCAATATTTATAGTTGATAGTTTGAGAGGGCGTGTTAGCTAGAGGGTGTTATAGGGTCCATAATAACCTTCTCCCAACAATTCGAGTTATTGGAATAAACTGGTTCATGAAAAAGCTAAGTTGTGATTATGAGCGAGTCTGGTAGATTTGCTCGGGTGTGAGACCCAAAGTTGGATGGTGATTATGATTATTGGAGTTTGTTAATGGAGGATTTCCTTCGCTACAACGAATTTGTGTGCAATGGGATCAAGGAATAACAATATGTGTCGAGCTTTCTCCATCTTAGGCTAAAGCTATGGATGATTATCAAGAGTTGATGGAGATCTCAAAGCTTAGAACTATTTGTTTCATTCCATCGACGAAAAAATCCTGAAGACCGCCAATTATAATGCTAGTGCAAGAGAGCTTCGAGAATCCATGAAGACAATATTGAGTAAAGTGAATTATGGTTTTTGCAGACTTGTGTGGCACCCCAATCCGGAGTCCACTTTTTCTGTTTCTTCTTTATACAGGACAATGGCGGGCGCTCGTTACCCTAGATTGCAGAACTACCCTGCAGCCTTTGTTTGGAAACTAGTGATTCCGACAAAAGTTTGCTTTTTCTTTTTGACTTTATCTCACAAGAAGCTTCTCACATTGGACAACCTCAAGAAGAAAGGAATGGCTCTCGCCAATAGATGCGAGCTGTGCAGAAACGATGAGGAATCTGTGAACCAACTTTTGGTGGATTGCCCTTTTGTTCGTGATGTCTGGGTTGCTGTTCGAAGAGCTTGTGATTCTGTGATCCCGCCGATTGGAGATATTTTCATTGCCATTCAAAGTTGGCCAGCCAATGATCCCGCTAATATCGACTCCTGGATCACGTCTTGCGTTCTTCACTATGTTTGCTGGCAAGTTTGACTTGAACGCAATCAACGCGTCTTCAATAACATCAATGTGCTATCAGTGGTGGTGGCTCGTAAGACCTGCAAATCGGCTCTGGATTGGGTTGTTGCGCACAATAAGGTCGACAAAAGCTGCAGTAGACAGTGGCTCGGTGAGAAATTTTGAAGGATCTGATCCCGCTAGATTTCTGGCGTTGACTGTCCTCTTTGTTAGCTCCATCATTCTTGAATGCGCTCTATTTGGCCTCGCTTGTTTGGTGTCTTCGAGCGAGATTGGAGGATTCGTGTTGCTGGTTTTCTTTTTCCTTTCTTTTGTTTTTCTCTTTCTCCTGTTTTGTTCGGTTGTTGTTTTTTTTGTTTTTATTGCTTCTTGTGCGGCTTCCTGTTGCTGCAGACATCCTCCCCTCACTCCTGGTGAAGCTGGTCTGTCTTGGCTTGTATTGAACCTCCTTGGTTTTTTTCTCCTTAATAAATTATCACCATTATAATAATAAAAAACTGGCAAGGATTCCTATTATCCTAGATTTTGGTTGTAGCACCACATGTGTGGAGCCAAAGAACGGGTTTCTAATATTGAGTTTCTTATATTGACGTTACATTCTCTTGCGCTGTCAAACTAGGAAAAAGGAATCATAAGGATAGAGGCTAGTAGAAGAGTGATGATATTAAATTAATGGGTTAATATTTTCGTATGGCCTGAACTTTGACCAAAATAAACATCATGGCCAATCTTTTCGATCTATAACATCCTGGCCCGAACTATACACCAAAATAAACAATTTGGCAAAACCCGATGTTCGACCGTTAACTTGGACGGTCAAACGCGTTGACTAACGGTCAACGCGCCCCCGTCACTGCCAAGTCAGAAGATATGATAAATATTTAATTTTTTTCGTTTTTTATTTTTGGTTTAACTAAGGTATTAGATGATTTTTTTGTAATTTATAATAATTTAAAATTAGAGAATGTGTGGAAATTGTGAATTATTTTAAATATTTTATGCTGACTTGGCAGTGACATGGCGCGTTGACTAACGGTCAACGCTTTTGACCGTCCAAGTTAACGGTCAAAAGTCGGATCTGGCCAAATTGTTTATTTTGGTGTATAGTTCGGGCCAGGATGTTATAGATCGAAAAGATTGGTCAGGATGTTCATTTTGGTCAAATTTCAAACCATATGAAAATATTAACCCTAAATTAATTTATAGGGCTCTCCTATAGTTAGCAACAACGCATCAAATTCTACTAAAACATGGATTATTCTTGTTTGAATTTCTTTATATTTGGTTTTATGTGTTTGAATTCTCCTTAGGACCGTTTAGATCCTTATGATGTTGTTTGATGTTTTTCTTAGCTTTCAAATAATGACATCATATAGTAAAAGTGCATGAGCGTTTAGGACTATACGAAAGACGAATTTAACCACAATTGATGGAGTTATGACGTTTGGAGCCTCCAATCAAAACTAGAGGGGTTCCCAAAACTGGCGAGTTTGAACAACCACTCTTCTTAGCACACAGTTTCTCACTGAGCAAAAATGTCATTCCCCACCAGGAACAGAAATGTTACTTGCTTATGTTATTGTCTTTGCATTGTTGAATTGAGTTCAGAAATTTGGTGGAACTTAAACCAAAAATGAAGAATTGAAATATTTATTGCATTTTGTGTGAAGTGCAACTTGATAGACTCATGGGAATACGAACCGGAGAGTTTCTTCTCTGGGTATTTCTTACATGGCTTTGGAGCATATCATTAAGAGCTTTGGTGATTCAAGAAGTGTTTTACATTCCAGGTTAGAAACTAATTTTCTTAATATAGGGAAAATGTAGGATAAAACTCTGGCAATTTCGATCGATCATGACATTGAATATCTACAACTAACTAAAGCTGGAGAGAATAATACTCAAGAAGAAGAAGAAGAAGAAGAAGAAGAAGAGGCAACTCCCATGAAACCTATAACAACAGTTACTCTAGTTGAACAAACGGCTAATGTGCAGGCTCAAGATGCAAACTCGAGATCTCCAAATGAGCTATCATGAAACAGGAAATCCAAAATCCGAACGAAGAGCAACAACTCAATTCAAGCGGAAATCGGAAAATCGCATCAACCGATAAAGAAAAAGCAAGACCCAAAAGAGTGAAGAAAAATCATGCACCTAGAACAAAGAAAAGAGGAGTGTGAGCATGCATGAAGAAGCAGAAATTATATTTGGGCTATCGTGTCAAAAATCGTAATCCACAATTCTCCATATCTATCCACACCTCTCTAGAAGAGGCCACGAGAAGCAAATTGCAAGGAAGCTCTCATCTCCCAACTACCTACATTATTGAAGCTAAAATAATAGAAATAAAACTAGCCATAAACTAAACCTACAAAGCTAATAATGAATCAACCACCGCCAGCAAAATTGGAGAACCCCAAACCACATGATAAACCAAACACCACCAAAATAATCATTATATTTCCCAATGGAAGTAGGTTTCGTGAGTGTATAAATATTGAAGCCTCATTTGAGGCATATTAGAGAGAGCTAGAGAGCATAAGCTCCTCTCAAGGGTTAAGCTTGCCTAATCCGTTAGGGGAAAATGTGGGCAGTGTTTGTGAGGGTAGAAGCAGAACAATCAAGAGCAGCAGCTCTAATGTAAAAGGCAATAATTTCCTAGTTGTGTGAGATATTAGAGTGAAAGAATTTCCTCTATTTTCGATCCATCTCACCGTATTTCCGTTGTGCTCCAACAAATTTGGTATCAGAGCCGATACTACTTTCCTATCTTTCTAAACCAGCCTCATGTATCCTACAAAAAAAATCCAAAAATCATGGCAGCAGTCCAGGCGAACACAATGTTCGTAAATATCCCCAGTCAGATCCCGATCTTCGAAGGTGAATTCTATAAGTACCTGAGTGAAGAAATGAAGACAATCTTCATCACTCAAAGACTTGTGGGATCTCTTCCAAGAAGCATATGAGGAGGTCATGATGAAGCAAGACTCTGGCAAAATGCCAGAAGGAGAGGATGAACTACCAAGCAGGTTCAAGACCGTAGAGGAAAATCCGACGGTAACAACTCATACTGCATTATTAGTCAAAAGACGGGACGTGCAAAAAAATATTGCATGCTCAAATGCAGGAATTGCAGGAATCCAAATCACTCCCCAAATGGATTGTTAGTTCCAGAAGAAGCATGAAGATGAGTAAAAAGAGAAGTAGTAAAATCCACTCAAGGTGAAGATATCAAGCAGTCACTCATAAGAAGTTCAAGAAGTCCAAGACACAACTATGAATTGCGGATTAAAAGGGGTGTCAAAAATCATAATCCACAATTCTCCATATCTATCCACACCTCTCTAGAAGAGGCCACGAGAAGCAAATTGCAAGGAAGCTCTCATCTCCCAACTACCTGCATTATTGAAGCTAAACTAATAGAAATAAAACTAGCCATAAACTAAACCTACCAAGCTAATAATGAAGCAACCACCGCTAGCAAACTTGGAGAACCCCAAACCACATGATAAACCAAACACCACCAAAATAATCATTATATTTCCCAATGGAAGTAGGTTCTGTGAGTGTATAAATATGGAAACCTCATTTGAGGCATAGTAGAGAGAGCTAGAAAGCATAAGCTCCTCTCAAGGGTTAAATCAACAAACTTGCCTAATCTGTTATGGGAAAATATGGGTCGTGTTTGTGAGGGTAGAAGTAGAACAATCAAGAGCAGCAGCTCTAATGTAAAAGGCAACAATTGCCTAGTTGTGTTAGATATTAGAGTGAAAGAATTTTCTCTATTTTCGATCCATCTCACCATATTTCCGCTGTGCCCCAACATATCGCCGGTCACCAAAATGTGCTGGTGGCGGCCTCTCGAATGTGACTCTGAAAAGTAGAGAGAAGGAAGAGGTTTTTGAAAGGTTAGAAGAGTTAGAGATGTTTAAATGGTTATCAAATTACCATGATAATTACCCAATTAATTAAGTATAAATTTCATTAACCATGAAATTCAATATTATGATCTAGCCGACCAAACTAATACAACAATTAAATTAACAAAACTAAAATTAATTGATTTGATTAAATGGTTAACCATAATTTATATAATGAATAAAACATAACACCCAACACATAGTTAACCCTTAACATAAATACATGAAACTAATACAATTATCTTACAATAATGTCAATGGTATGAGGTTAATGAATTGGGTGTCTGTGTGAGTTGTCTTAGTCTTTAGCAATTATCTTAGGACGAATTTTTTTTTCCATTTTACGTTTTTCATCCAATATAATGTATGTGGTTTATCTAAATTACGTGTCCATATGCTATTGCCTACACTCTACAATAGCAAACATAGTATAGGAATAATAATGAGCTTTATATTTGTGGATTTGAACGATTGAATCTTGAGTGGTTATGCAAAGTATTAAGTATGAGTATATAATATATTAGATATATGACTAATTGCTTACACTATGTTTGGCAACAAGTGGATGCAAATTCGAGGGGTACAAGTTAAAGAGTAAATTGCAGGAGGGTGCAAATTGGTGAGGGTGTAAGTGGAGTGTAAATTGTTCTTTGGGTGAAAAAGTAGGGGTACACAAATAGAGTGAAAAGTAAGTATTATATTATTATAAAATAGATTTATCAAATTTATAAAGTATTATTACAAAATAATAATAAAATAATTAATATTAATTAATATACTTTAATAAAAATGATTATTATATAATAATGCTAAAATAATAATTATTTTAACAACTGTAATAATCATTGGTCTAGCGACCTCGAAGGTCGAAGCCAACTCGTAACTGGTCATGCTACAAGGTTCTCGTGTCTAATTTAAATTTTAATTGAATATGGTTAAAATTATTCAAACACGTTCCCCAGACACTTCTTATCTCTAAATTTCAATGTAAATTCGAGTCAATCAAGAGATCTATATTTAACTAGGCGAACATTGATAAACTTGTTCTCGGAGTCAAACGGTCAACAATGAAGAATATCTATATTTATGATAATTATAATAAAAGAAATTGACAATATTAATTATTATATAATTAAAAATAATTAATAAAAATCTATAATTTCCCCACTTCCCTTGCACCCCAATTTGGGGTAAACCGAATTAGTAATTCTGCACCTCCAGTTTGCATCCCCTATTGTTCCAAATTATCCAAACAGGTGCAAATATGTTGGAAACTGCTCTGATGAGTTCGATCGAAAATGGTTGAACCTAGAGTTTGGTTCTGAAATGGCCACTAACCTGATCACTTTTCCATTTTTTTTGGATAAGTGGGCTAAGGTTTGGTTCTTGGTTGGGTTGGGTTCATGTATTGGGTTGAGTATATAACATGGCAGGTTTAGTGACATGGCAGGCCGGGTTTGACCATTTGCGACCCAAAATGGTGTTGACTAGGCGCTCCCGTTAGCCACGTCAGCACATAATGGACTCCATTAACAGAGTTTGACGAAGACTAACGGAGAGTGATTAAATATGACATGTTTTAGTAATTCGAGTGACCAAATTTGATATTAATATTTTCTAATAACTAAACATGACACGATTTAGTAATCATAGTGACCAAATGTGGCATTAATACTTTTAGTGTCACTTGCAATTATTACTGTTGCTTGTAGTGGAATTATTTGCAACTCATTTGTTGTCCCTTGTTAATTGTTATTGCCAATTCCCGCAACCCCATGTTCAGCCTGGCTGACTCATATGCTTACTAGCTTATTAACAGACAACATGTATATGGGAATTCGAGATTTTCTAGATGATAATTCACACACGTCTCTATATATACTATATAAATCATTTGTTTGTTTCGTAAGAGGAAGTGAACTAATTAAGCCATAATGTATAGGCCAAAAAGGTAAAGTGCCTGCAAGTTCCCTGTGTTAAAAGCATAAAGATTACTACAAATATATGCATAAATAATAACTAGAAAATTTGGTGCGTCGAATGTACATTATGTGACACTATTTATATGATGATATTTGGAGAGATATGCTACTATGTCATTGTAGTTCTCATAAATCAAACGTATTCGTTTAAATAATGTTTGAATAGGTGTGAATCATACAAATAATCATCATTCTCATAAAAGTAAGAACACACCCAACCCCATCCACACATTTTTTCCACCATCAACAACTTGATCCACACAGCAATAGGCTTTTCCATAGGATTCAAGATGTTCAGTCAAACCCCAGCTACATAGATTCAAAAGATACGTCTGTCCCGCTAAACGTCCCCAAAACCATGCTTCCGAAGGCTCGGCTGGACAGAAGCCCAAATTCAGCAGACCCTGGATAGCCCACCTGTAAACACAAAAATAAGTAACTCGCAAAATCATCCTCAAATTCCTTCCCAAAACATAGCAAAAGCCCATCTTATAAAAAAGGGTTAATAGAATTTTCTACCCCTCTACTTTCACAAATTAACGAACGTACCTTTCTAATAATTTTTTGCACAAAGGTACCCTTATACTATTAGAACGTAACAAACATAATTTCTGTCTAATTAGCCGTTAAGCGACTGTTAAGTGGGCTGGTAAATGACTAAATTACCCCGGCGGCGGCTCTCGGCTTCTTTTCGGCGACGGTTGGAGCATGAAGGACTGTGCGCAAGGGTGTAGCCATCCATTTCTCCCATTGATTCCACAGCAGAGGGGCCAGATTCCCGGCTTCTCCCGTGATGTTTGGGACGCCAACTGTCGGTCGAATTAGTTGACTTAATTCCGTCGTCACCCTAAAATCCCACCACCGATAAGCCTCAGCGAACGTCCGCGGGAGGCCACCTCCCGATCTTTCTCCCTGACAACTCGAATAGACGGCAACGGGTGAGACAACGAGGCAATCAGCAAGAGCACAGACGAGTAGTGACGACTTCCGCTGAGTCTTCTCCATCTGTCTGGTCAAGCGAACCCCCGCCCCTTCTCCCTAACCACAAAACCCCTCTTTTTATTTGTCTGAAGGTAATTATTGCGGGAACCTAATTTCTTTGTATCTCCTATTCTTTGTAACTCCTCATTGGCCTTGTTATCGATTATTTTATGCTTATATTCTTATTAGAATGCTATGGTTTATAGGTAATGCCATCCTGTTCTCAGCAATCATCATTTCGTTGAGCCAGGAACCACAATGATGACGTGTTCTCTTGGTGTGGCGTAAGAGTGATGTGGCTACATTCATGGACGCTGAAGGAAAAATGAAAGGTGTGAGAGTGATTCGTGAAATGAATCATTTTCTTCTTGCTCGTAGTTGTAGCTGTCTTGTTTGTTGTATTATGCAGTTCTTGGATGCAGATTAAATTGTTTTGCACCTAGATTGTACGTTATACAAAAAAATCAGTCTTTGTAGTAGAAACGTGTTATGAATGAATGTAAAGATATATGCTCTTGCACCAGATTATCAACAAATAGAACCGGCAACAAAGATTATCACCAAATAGAAAGTTTTATGAATGTGAAGATATATACTCTTAAGCCAGGAAACACATTTATCCATCAAAGAAATAATGCAGCTTAAAACAATGAGACAAAATGATAAATGCAGAAAGTAACAATCTGCTGTGAAAAAATGATGTAGCATGCTGGTACACATATAGTCAAAAGGATGTGTCATGTGGATTACACAAACAAGGTTCATAGTTCCTTCCGCCATATCTTCACATGATCAATAATACAAAAACTTGGTTTCATAGTTACTTCCTACTATCGACTACTACATACAATGCTAAGCTATTAAACTGTAGTCGTGCTCTCTTGGGTGCCACCATGTCCACCTCGTTCTATATCTTGCGCCAACTTCACCATGGCTTCTTGTTTGAGGCGAGGGACTTGAATCACTCTTCTGCTTCTCAAGCCTGGCTACAGAAAGATATTAAGAACAAATAAATTCAGTTATTAAATAACTTAAACTTAAAGGTTTGGATTAGAAGAGTTAGATGCATATCTAAAGAACTTACATCCATCACTATGAAACCGTTTGGACAGTGGTGGACACCCACCCTGACAAAAGGCTTGTTCTTCATCTTTGGTGGACCCTCATCTCATTGGCCACTGGTCCCCACCCTTCCAACAACGCCTTGTATCTGAGTTGAGAGACCAACTCCCTAAGAAGGAGTTTATTAGACAGATATGGAAAGGCAAGAAAGAATTGAAATGACAAGCTGAAATTAAATGTGCACCTCATATGGAATCTGGTCTTTACAGGTTCGAGAGTTGTGCCCCTCTTGCTTGCACCTTTTGCAAGTAATAATTCTCCTGGTCTTGCATAGCTTGGAAGGATCATTCTTGTCTGATGCCATCAAATCTTTAGAAGTGTAGATTCTTTTCTTCTTCCTTTGATGATCCTCATTTTCTTCAGCACTTGTGACTCTCTTCTTCTTGGGTCTCCCATTTTCTTCAGCACTCCTCACTAGTTTGCCTTCAAAAATTTACTACTTATGCACAATTTGAATCATCAATAATAAATCAGCTATAATTACCTTCATTTGGTCCGAACTGAAGGCCCAACCAGCCCCTTCATTGATGCTTAAGTCATCTATCAACTCTTTCACAAACCAATCCCATAAACTTCTTGACCCGACTTCAACCACAACCCATGCAATATGATAGATTTGATCATTTGCATCCCTCCCAACAGCAGCAATTAACTCTCCCTTGCATAAACCCTTAAGAAAGCAGTCATCTAATGCAATAATCTTCCTGCACCCAGCTAAGAAACCCTTCTTTATGGCACTGAAACATATATACATTCGTTTGAACTTTGGCTTCCCTTCAGGATTGTCTCGATTAACCATGATACAGACAATTGTATCCCAGTTAGTTCTCCTAAGATCTTCAGAATAAGTCCATAGAAGTGCATACTCATCCTTATATAGCATCCTTGAGTCAAATTCATAATGATTTTCTTAGCACGTGAACAAGTCATCCTATTCACATCATAACCCAACTCTTCTTTAATTGTCTCACTCATTTCCTTAAGCCTCCATCGTGGATGTGCTCTAATCCTCCGATGATACTTCTTTGCAATCACAGCTGGGCTACAGTATTTGTTGTTGAAATGCAGCCCACATCAATGCAACTTCAGTGTGTTAATGCGAAAGGTATCTGCCCTTTTACACCATGAAACCAACATCATGAATGGACAACCCTTATATCTACAAACCACCCTAACCCTCTTTTGATCACTTTGCTTCACCTTCACACCTTTTCTGGCAACCAAAGAGTACTTCTTTATTCCTTCCCTAGCTTCATTCATGCTTGTGAAAATCATACCAAGTTCAAAGAATGGATACCCACAAGAAATATCGTTCCTTCACCCTTCGGATTCGTATATGATAAATCTATCGGTCAAGTGACGGGGAAAAACACACATTGAGTTAAAAATAAGTAAAGAAGCCCAAGACATGGAACAAGCAAGAATCCGGTATTCGAAACCTCTTAAGCAGTCAACCTCCCTCCCTCTCTTAGGTTCACTTCACTCGCTTACAGGTCACTTCACTTTCTTTAGGAAATGCATATTGATAACGAGTATGGGTTGGAGGGGATCTAATCTAAATATACATAGCATCTTTATCAGCGGCATGACTTATTTGCTTTTTTATTCGAATTTTTTAGGGATAAATGGAATTCTCTCCCTAGTTATGGAATTAGCGTCTTCTTACATAAAAACAAAACTTACATAAAATAAATTTAATAAAGTGCTAAATAAACTATAAACAATATTTATTGACTTTGTTTTGTTATAAAATAAACACATACCACGTCGACAATGCTTATTTAATGAAAGTATTATCTCATACGAACATGATGTATTGACTTGGTTTTGTTTTATAAAATAAGTACATATTCGATTTTGGAGGTTACTTTAATTTGTAGCATTCTACTTTTCACATACTTTAATATTACAAGTTATTATTAATAAATATACTTAGTGTGGTTATTGTGGGTTTTGTGGGTTAACCGTTGTGGATAGTGGTTAACCACTAGCCATAAAAATTTATATTTTTCTACCCACACCCAACCCACTATCCACAAATTGTGGGTATGGTTACCCACAAAATATGCGATTTGGTGCGGTTTGCGGATTATCCGCAAACCAAACTTCCACCCCTAGGTTTCACGATGGGTGGAGGGGTTTCTTTAATGGTTTTGTTTTGTTTTTAATTATTTTGGGACTTAATAATGAAAACTAAATTAGCATCAAATTAGGGGTAATTTAGTCATTTACCAGTCCACTTAACAATCATCTAAAGGCTAATTAGACACAAGATTATGTTTGTTACGTTTTAATAGTATAAGGGTATGTTTGTGCAAAAAATTAGTACAGGGGTATGTTTGTCAACTTGTGATGTAGTGGGGTAGAAAATGCTATTAAGTATTAACCCAATAAAAAAAATAATAACAAAAGCACAACTACATAAAGATGGGACATTTGTTGTGCACCAAATAAATAAATAATCAAATTTCAAATTATTTTCAATATTTCATTTACCAAATAATAAATAAACCAAAAAAATGAAAAAATTTACGGTCAACACCTTTCACTAATGATCGATGCTCCATCTCATTTTCATGTCATCACAAAATAAATAAATAAAATTTCAAATTATTTTCCATATTTCATATTTTGGTTTATTTTATTATTAGATAAATAAAGTATGCGAAATAATTTAAAATTAGAATTTTTTATTTATTTGGTGATGACATGGTAGTGAGCTGTATCGTTGACCGTCCAAATTGACAATCAAAACACTCATCCGGCCAAGCTAGTGTACATGGCACTAGGGCTGGCTATTTGGTCCGCGCTTTTTGGTTTTACCCAAAACCGTACCGTATAACTCGAACCGGGACCAGATAGCAAACAATCCAATCCCATCTTCGAGATTAGATTTGAGATAAAAACCCGTTCAGGACCGGATCGAAAATCGGATAAAGACAGGATAAGAGAGCCCAACACCCAAAACTTAACCAACTTCTCACCCTTTGAGGCCTCAGGCTACTCAAATCCCGAAAAACTCAATTTAAAATCAAGACCGAATTGGGACCAGACTGTATCCAATCCAATCTTTGGTCCTTATATTCTCGAAAAGACAGGACCGAAACCGTATGAATTGGGACCAATTTAACCGGACCGGACCGTATAGACACCCTACATGGTACATAAATGAGGCCATAATAAGAATTTATAAAAAGACAAACCAAAGTAGTATGTTTGCTTGAGAGTTGTTGAGACAATGGTATCATTCCAAGTTCCCCATCCTTTTTTGCACCTGGGGATGACTTTAACTCATGTTGAAGGTGATAACTGGAGTAAGGAGTGGAATATTTCTATGGAGGGAGAATCGAATTGATAGGATGAGAGAGTACATATGGAGGTATTCTTGAGGGCAATATGGTATTTTAGCCTTTTTTATTATTAAATACCATAAGAGAAATAACTCACGTGAATTATAAACTCAACCATGATAAAACTCAATTTTCACAGAAATACCACATTCTCAAAAAATAAGTTATTTACTTATTTATAAACAAATTTTACATATTGACAACTAACACATCTAAAAGATCCCTAAATGTCAAATGCTATTATTTTTTTCAAAATGCAAATTTGAAAAGATGTTTAACAAGAATTTTGTATTTAATCAGAAAAGCTCTAAGAAAAATTGGGCCAAACATGAACTAAAATCGATTCCGTCTAAATAAAATTGGTACTTTACTTTGAACTCCATATCGCCAAGTTCCAACAGAAAACAACAAATATGTTTGGATTTTTTCCCCTCTCAAGGAACTAGATTAGTAGGTCTAAATAAGTGGATCAAATCATGGTCGCTTTTGCATAATTATACGAAAAATATCATATGGATAAACGGTAAATCATATGTGTGCACATATTCTAAAAATTTTCACAAAAAATTTAATGCCTTGATGAGTTACACAAATTTACAATCCCTCCAAAATACCCAATTTTTTTACACAAGTGAAAAGAGTAACTAGAATGCAAAGAAGATTATGACCAATCACCCAGTCTCCTGCCTTTTCCTCCTTTCAATTATTATTATTATTGTTATCATTGACACAAATTCTTGGTTATAATCTTGTTTTGATTCGCCAACCACATCTGTTGTTCCCTCAACAAATTCTCCCGCTCCATCGCATCACCACCTTTCGCCACCATTGGCCACGGCCCAAACAAATCATCACAGCCATTGCACTCACCATTCTCTACACTGAATGTCGGCGGCGTTGCTTGAAAAGATGGCGCCGTAGTGAACAAATCATCAAATAGAACTATTGCCTTATTCTCATCCCCTGCAGGCGTCGTCTGTTCCGTTTCAATTGGCCATCCACCTGACATTCCACTCTCCAGATTATTATTATTAGTATTTTGAACACTGATCAATGTCGGCCTCGCCTGAAACGTTGAAGCCGCGGTCGAGAAGAAATCATCTGCCAAAGCCATCACATTTTCGTCCACGGTCATCCTTGTCACTGTCTCCGATTCCGGTTCATTTTTCCACTCTATAAGTTGGTTACTACTCTTACAATGATGATTTTCATGAACGCTAAACGTGGGAGGTGTGGCCTGAAACGTTCCCGACGAGAACAAATCATCCATCAGAACTATTGCCTTGTCGTCCCCTGACGGCAGAGGCTTCGATTCTATTTCAATTTCAGGCAAACTAACCTCCAAATCTTGTAGAAACGGGTTGTAATTGTGATCAAGGACATGATTTTCAGCAATCGCTGGAGTTCCCAATTCCAATCCAAACGGCGAGTTGGAATTCCCAACTTCGTTCAGATCGAAGAAACCGCTAGGGATTTCGGTACTCGATTGTGTCGCGATCTCTGCCAGGACAATCTCCCATCCCGAATTTGAATTCTCTAAAGCCTTCTCATTCTCCAACTTCAAATCCTCTAGATCCCAATCGTCCAATGACAACAAGTCCATTACACAACTACTTTTCGCGCTCGTCGAGGACTCATTATTATCTTCACCAGTAGTACTGGTCATGTCCTGATTCTCCAACGACATCGAAATCGAAGGCTCTTCTTCATCTTCCTCCATCCCAGCTACAGCTAGTCCCATGAGTTCCTGAAGCGACGATAATTGACGACCACGAGACGAAATACCCTCCACTACTGCAGCCTCCTCCTCCTCTCCCTCTGGCGGAGACCTGGGAAATGAAGCCTGGTCTTTCAGAAACTCCTGCAGCGTCTCGATAAGCTCCTCAGAGATCTTCTGAACGCTAGGGTACTCCGATGTCCTCCCCACACCCATCGATTTGCAAAAATCGTAGTAAGAGCATAGCTCTTGGAATTGCTTCGCCGCTTTCACGCACGCCTGAAACGCGGTGGCGCAGGATTGGTACGGAAGGTGGAAGAAGCTATCGAGAAGGAGTGCCAGCCCATCAGATATGTCCTTATACAGATCGAAGCTCTCCTGAACGACAGCGTACAAGCATATCAAAACCAACCGGTTCGATTTTGCTGCCCCCGTGGGCCGGGTGGCCATCGCGCGGTCTAACAATTTCTGCCAGTAGGAAATTCGGTCGAGGAGCATCGGCGGCTTCATGCTGTCGCTGAAATACATCTTCGGCTTCGGGGGCCGAAATTTCCCCGTCCGGCTAGCAGCGGCTCCACCTCCACCTCCACAATCGCGCCGGCGTTGTAATTTACCGGTGATGAAGCAATCGAGGCGCTCGTCGAGGTACAACGCGAAAGTCCGTACAAATGCGGTGAAATCCCAAGGGCTAGAATTGGAATCATCGCGAAAACTGGAGAGGTTGAGAATTCGGGCCCCGCGCTTCATGGCATGGAGGACTTCCCTGGGGAAGTAAGGATCGCCGTCCTGGAAAATGCGGAGGACGAGCATTAGGGATTTCAAGGCGACAATCCAGTTTCGGGTGCGGCCGATCCGCTTGGAGATGACGTGGGCGCAGGCGACGGCATAGGCTTTGCTGGAGGAGATGAGGGAGAGGACCTCGGCGACGTAGCGCTCGTCGATGGGGACATCATCGTGGCGAGTGGCTTTGAGGATGAGGACTTCGAGGTTGGAAGCGTTGGTGCTGGAGATTTTGGCGAAGCTGATGCTAGTTTGGTCCTTCACCGCCCCAATTGCCTTGCGTAATTTGCTCGGCATAATTAATTTCAATTGGGGGGTGGAATTTGTCGTGTTTGCGGGGACCAGACCAGGAGGGGGATTTTGGATTGGTTGTTACTTTCGTTTATCCTTGGGTTGGGTGGGAGAAAAAAAAAAAAAAAAAAGGAATTGTGTGTGGGGGTTTATGGGAGAGAGGAGAAAATGGAGGAGATTCATTTGGTTGGGGAGGTTTTTCAAGAGGGACGGGAAAAGGAGTGGTGGAGAGAAAGAGATGGAAGTTTAATGAATTCTGCTCCTTGAAATTGTAACTAAATGGATTATGTTTGTTTGTTGGCGTTGGTTGGATTACTAAAAATCGTTACTTGTTTTCCTTTTTCTCATGTGCTATTATTTAATCTAATTTTCTACATCTGCAATAAAAAAAATTATACCAACTCGGCCGCTAATCTCAAGCCTGCATGCTTATGAGGGGAGATTAAGCGCTCGTTTGCATTCGTGGATTTGAAAATGAAAGTTTTGGTATAACTTGGATTTTGATAAATCATGGATATATGAGGGTTTTGGGTTCGTTATGGATTTAAAAAAGATCATTGTTTGTTTCATGGATTTCATTATGGATTTTGTTAATTAAATTTGTATGTATGAAGTGAACTATACATTTATTGCCCTCAATAATATAAGAAGAGAAAGAAAATATGAGGGGTAGGTTCGTAAAAAATGATGGACTTTAAAGAGGGATTATCAAGTCCTTGGGCCATACGGATTTGGATCCTCAAAGTCTATGGGTCCCACGGATTTGGTATATCTAAAAACTTGAAGCAAACAATAGATTTTGGACAAAGTTCATCATGAACCCAAATTCATCACCAAATCCTTCACCAAATCCATCAAGAAAACAAGCCCTAAAATAAACAATATTGTGAAGAGAATGTAAATAAAACTATGAGATTGGGGAAAATATAATCATAATGTAAATCAAGTGCATTTACATCATGAGATCTTAAGAGATATACATGAGATTTCACTAACATAATTTTCACGTCAATCTGTTTTCTCAATATAAATGTCTACCCATTCATATAAGGAGATTCCCTATGAGGAGTGGGTCAAAGCATAAATTGCAGCTATGAGTGCATTTGACGGAAGGCTGTAAACGTCTTTGCACTTTTATACTTCTATAATCTCTTTTATTTATTCCACCGAGGCCGGAAGGGAAGTCTACCGAGGTTGGGCTACTTTTTTGTTTTTGCATATCCTCTTTCAGTTTTTAGTTTTAAGTTATATAATTTTAGTTTTATGTATTTATTACTTATTGGTGACAAGAAGAAAATTATTATGTTAATTAAAAAGAATTTTCTAAAACTTGCGGGGCCAAGCCAAAGAAGCTGTAAACAAAACCCACGCGGAAAATGATATGGAGAAGGCAAAGGAGGGGATTCCCCCGTCCTGAGTTCTACCAGGGAAGCCAACTAACCCCGCTATTTCCTAATGAATTACAAAGTTTTTGTTTGGAATTGCCAGGGTGCGGGAAGTAGACGCTTTACTAGAGTGTTCAATGAGTATAAAAGGAGGCATCGTCCTCAAATCGTGATTATTGTTGAGCCACGGATTAGTGGTGACAGAGCTAAGGATGTCAGGCAGAGCTTGGGTTTCGACAAAGAGTTTGTAGTTGAGGCGGTGGGTTTCTCGGGAGGAATTTGGGTGCTATGGAATTCCACGGATATTTGTCTGTCCCAAGTTAACGCCCACGCTCAGTTCATTCATATTCAGGTAGAGCCAGCAGGTGTACCGGGGCATAAATGGCTACTCACAGCAGTCTATGCAAACCCTGCTCCCATGCAACGTCGGGTTCTGTGGGAAGCTTTGAGAGAGTTAGCCGAAGACCAAGACCAGGCATGGGCAATCATGGGTGACTTTAATTCCATCCTGCGTCCTGAGGAGAAACTTGGAGGTGCCCCTTTTGATTCCTCTCGCATTCAGGACTTTCAGGACTGTATCAACGATACCAGCCTGGTGGACCTAGGATACCGCGGGCCGCCGTTTACTTGGTTCAGAAATGGTGTCCGAGAACGCCTAGACCGGGTGCTTGCCAACAATATGTGGACATCGCTGTTCCCGGAAGTCTCGGTCAGGCACTTACCTCGTGTCAAATCAGACCATAGACCCCTTCTACTGTCTACGGATTTGTCGTGCCCACCGGCAGGACCGAAACCCTTTCGCTTCTTGGCTGCTTGGCTTACCCACGACGAGTTTACTCCGATGCTCCAGGAAGCATGGGCCAAGGGGACCTCATTTATTGGTTTGGCGGAGGAGTTTGCCAAGGAAGCAATACGTTGGAACCATCATGTTTTTGGCCATATTCTCCGGAAAAAAGATGCCTTGCTGAGGAAATTAGAGGATCTAGAAAAAAGGGATGGGCGGTTATCAGTATCACCACAGCTAGAAGCCACTCGAGAGGATCTTGAGACTATATTGTTCCAAGAGGAACTTTTATGGTACCAGAAATCGAGGTTGGAGTGGATTGTATCGGGGGACCGAAATACCGCTTATTTCCATGCAAGAACGTTGAAGCGAAGGAAGAGGAATCGGATACTGGTGCTTAAAAATAATGAGGGTGACTGGGTGCTGGGAAACAGTGGGGAGCAGTCTAGCTAAGATGATCGAGGATTGTTGGAAGTGGCCGGACAGGATCATGGAGGTCAATTCCACCGTTCTAGTCCTCATCCCGAAAGTCTCCGCGCCCACCACTATCGACCAGTTTCGACCTATAAGCCTTTGCAATGTGGCGTACAAGGCACTCACGAAGTGTATAGCAGAAAGACTAAAGCCTCTTATGCTGGATTTGGTTCATGAGACCCAGACAAGTTTTGTACCGGGGCGTCACATTACGGATAATATTTGTATCCTCCAGGAAGTGGTGCACTCTATGAGAGCGAAAAAGGGTAGGCGAGGGCGGATGGCGCTCAAAATCGACCTCGCCAAGGCATATGACCGCATCCATTGGGAGGTTGTTAGAGACACACTGGAGGCAACCGGAGCACCAGTCAAATTGATTGAAGTAATAATGGCATGCATCACCTCGGCGTCGATGGAGATTCAGTGGAACGGTGGGCTTACGAGCTCGTTCTCACCGTCTCGAGGCCTTAGACAGGGTTGTCCGCTTTTGCCATATATTTTTACTGTGCATGGAACGCTTGAGTCATTTGATAATTAACTCCATTGAGGCTGGAACATGGCAGCCAATCAGGCTGACCGGGGCAGGGCCAGCTCTTTCTAATCTATTTTTTGCAGATGACTTAATCCTTTTTGGCGAGGCTTCTTCCCAACAGGCCCAAGCGATTCTGAAATGTTTTGATACCTTCAGAGCCGCTTCGGGTCAGAGAATCAGCAAGCCAAAGTCAAGGGTGTTCTTCTTGGCGAATGTCGTTGCAGCCAGAAGAGCAAAACTAAGTGAAGAGCTGGCAATACCACAAACGGCGAACCTGGGGAGCTATTTGGGAGTACCGGTCATTCATGATCGGGTTTCGAAGGCAACTTTTAATGAACTTATTGATAAGGTGAATAATCGGCTTGCAGGATGGAGGGCGGAAAAACTGAGCATGGCTGCGCGGGTTACCCTTGCCCAGGCGGTACTCTCATCCCTCCCGTCGTACACTTTGCAAACGTCGTTTTTGCCGGTGAGTGTGAGGGAGTACATCGATAAGAAGATTCGCGCTTTTGTTTGGGGAAGTACAGAGAGGGGTAGGAAGATCCATCTCCTTGACTGGGAAACGGTGTGTCGACCGAAAGAGGAAGGCGGTCTGGGCTTGCGTACAGCTACGAGATCGAATGAAGCATACATGATGAAAATTTCCTGGCGGTTACTCACAGGGGAGGACGAACTCTGGGCTCGGGTGATTTGGAGCAAGTATATTCGGGAGAGGGAGAATGGCATTGAGCCAAGAAGGCAGGGGCGAATGTCGAATCTTTGGAGGGGAGTTATCCGCGTTTGGGAAAAAATGGATGTGGCCACCGTCTGGAATGTGGGCGATGGACGGACAGTTGGGTAACGGACGGCGACCCGCTGGCCACTCATGTTGCGGCCCTACCTCCGGAAGTTCTTGGCATGACTGTGTTGGAGTTCGTGCTCAATGGGGAGTGGAACAGGCCTTCATTGACTATTATCTTCCTAATGAGTTTGCTTTGCAGGTTTACGCACATCCCATCCTGGAGACACATGAGAGGGACACAAGATGCTGGCGTTTCTCCTTAGACGGGCGATTCAACTTCAAGACGGCGTACGAGTTCACGGCGGAGGACGAGGGATCTCCAAACCACATGCAACCGAAATGGCGGGCGATTTGGAGAACCCCAGTCATACAGCGGACGAGAACCTTCCTTTGGCTAGCTATCCACCAACGGTTGCTTACAAATGCGGAGAGGACACGAAGGCATCTTACAACCGATGGCAGCTGCAAGACGTGCGGCGGAGAACCCGAAACAACCTTGCATGCCCTCCGAGACTGCCCATTTGCGCGGGGTGTTTGGGCAGGTTTACTTGAAGATGAACCAGAGGGACTTCTATGGGAAGAGCTTGGAGGATTGGATGTTCTACTACTCCACAGGGCGGGGACGAGCAGTGTATGCTACTCTTTTTGCAGGTACTTGCTGGCTCCTGTGGAAGAACCGGAACAACTTCTGCTTCAAGAGTGAACTTCAGTCCTTTGCTCAAATTCAGTTTCACTCGGCACAGCTAAGGCAGAGCATTATTCCCGCTTTGGAAAAGGAAACTATCGTTGGAGGAGCTGGGGGACTCCATACACCAACACCCATCTGCTGGCAGCAATCAGGGCCAGGGTGGACATGCCTCAACACAGATGGTTCTGTTTATCACTCGCCTTCAAGTACGGCGGCAGGTGGGATCGTGCGAGGGGACGACGGCCGTTTCATTATCGCGTTCACCATGAACCTTGGGGGGGGGGGGGTTCGATCACCAGTGCCGAGTTAGCTGGAGTTGAGCAGGGGCTGAGGTTTGCTTGGGAGGCAGGGGCTCGGAAGGTTCTCCTGCAAACGGACTCGACAACAGCCATTAACCTTATCGAGACAGCAGACCAGCAGCATATGCACTTCACGAGAGTTAAGCAGATTCGACAGCTTCTAGCTAGAGACTGGCAGGTCATGATGATCCATATCTACAGAGAAGGCAACGTCGTCGCAGATTACTTGGCCAATCTAGGCCATACTTGTTCGTTGGGAGTCAATAGGATCACTGTGCCCAATAGGGCTCTTTCATACTGGTTGTATCATGACTACATCGGGGTTGAAACGACCCGTCTGATTCCTAGTTAAAGGCTGGGACCCCCTTTGCGTCCCGTTTATTCACCAAAAAAAAAAAGAAATTTTCTAATCTATAGTCACTCTAAACTCTAGGTGAAACTTATATGGAGTATATTAAGTATATATATTCCGTTGGTTAACAAAAAAGGAAACATCTAAGTTATACATGTCAACCTTCACATTACGTTTATATACTTGAACAATCACAAGGTCGAGCATTTGATACTCTGATAGGCCTTTATCTGTCATATATAAAGTACAAGCCTACTCGAGTAAAATTATATTTCATATTTGCAAAAAATTTAGCATTAAATTTTTCTTTCAATGAAATTTAGGAGAAGAAGGAAGAGAAAATTATTATAATTTTACTTTTATGTATTTATTACTTATTGGTGACAAGAAGAAAATTATTATGCTAGTAGTGGAAAGAGGTGTCATGAATGGAGAAGAATGTGTTGTTATTGGTGGCGATGATAATGCTAATGACAAAGCAATCGCGAAGTCTAAAATAAAATTTGCATCCATTTCTAATCGACATGTTATTTCTTTTGAACACGTTAGGAGTGGGTTTCCTTGCATGATATTTTTTTAACTTTCGGTAATTGAATTAGTTGAATAAGTTCGCATCTCATAAAAATAAATTTATGATACATGCTCTTTTTTATTTTTCCAACAATCAAATATTTAGACTCTTTTATGTATGTAAATAAAAAAAACAAAATTTTCTTTGGATAATTTCTATAAATTTTTATATTATCGATAAATTTATCCGACCAACGGGTCGGGTCTTAATATAGTTTTAGAGAAAAGACATTCAAAAATTGAGATGCATAGTTTTTGATTTTGCTGTGTTAGTAGAAGAATGTCCACTTATTTCGTTTTGGCCAGAGGACACCTGGAAATAGAAGAAGGTGCTTGGTCTCTGAGATTGTCGAATTCCATAGAATAATGTATGTCACATTGTTGTTGGCTCATTTGGGAATGGAAAAAAGGGAGCACATCACACCCTCCTTCCATCTCTACTGCCGCCAATACCATGGATGATTTACATTACAAACCCAGAGCCGTCACATGATATTTGGAGGCCCTGTTCAAAAATTTAACATGTGGTTCCTAATTTTTTTCTCAATAAATTTATTAAAAATAAAATTTATTAAATAATTATAAAGTACATAAGTTCAGAAAATGATTTCAAAATGAATAAACAATCTCACTTCCTGTTTGACCAAGAAACCAAGACCAAATTCTCACTCCTAGCAGGGAGGGAGAAAAGTAAATCTGGAGGGAACAGAAAATGTATATAGAGCAAAAATTGAATGGAGAAATGAAAATAATATAAATTGATCGAGAGGTGGGTGCGGGTCTATCTAATGGATCGTGTAGGCCCTATTCTAAAATTGAGACATGATCCAAATTGACTTTTAACTATAATAAAACTAAAATGATTATAATACAATTATTCAAAATGTAATATCTTTCTTTATTGTTTAAATTAAAATTATCTATTATCTCTCTGATTTTTGTATTCTCCATGAGATCTTTTTCAATTGTTATTATAGCTAAAATCATCTATTAAATTCGTCATCATGTTCATAATCTATCAATCATACACTAAAAAAACAACCTGCAATATTCGTTCGGTAACTAACGAATCTAAGTGGAGGCCCCTAATATTTGGAGGCCCTGTGCCAGAGGGCGGGCCGGCACACCCTCTTGGCCGGCCTATTCGTTCTTCCATGATGTTCCATCTAGACATCGTGGGATGTTGCAATGGCATGTTTTGTATTCCCAAATGGGCCAACGACAATGACGACCGCAAGTCTGGATACAAGTCGGCGGCGACAGGAAGATGGGAGTTTGTCATGTTATAAACCAAATTTTCCAATAATTAGAATTGTTGAAGAGATTCATGCGCGTATAGATGTTAACAACTTCCTTACATGATACATCAATGGAAAGTCAACTTATGGATTTGAAGTTTACATGAACCCCTTGTAATGTGTGGTTTTAGACATATTGGGGGTTGGGAAAACTTGAACACATGATCTCAAGACAAACCAACTTTGATACCATGTCATAAATCACCGATCTCAATAACCCTAGTTGTTAAGACATGCACATGCATGGATCTCAGCTACCTTTTTACATTCATTTTCCCCTGGCAAAGAGCAACAAAAAATTTGTCGAAAAGACAGCTTATATTGCAAATCAAACAAGCTGTTACAAAGGGTGAAGAATACAAGCAGTGATAGAAACCCTAAGAACCCAAACAAACAGAGGGCATTATTTGCTAGAGAAGATAAAAACATAAACAAAACAAAAAGCAGAAACACACCTCAGCAGAAGGGTGCCTAAGCATCATCCAAACACAAGAATCCAAACACCTCATGCAGCCGCTTGAGTCGAAGAAGCACAACACGAAGTCAGCTCGTTCGACACAAACATAATCATAGCATAGTCATGGCATGATCATAGTATTATCATAAGCCCCGCTAGTGGAAGAGTTATGTTAATGGCAGGGGAGGCTATACCCACTAAACTCTCAAAATCATTTAAAAGTACATGTAAATCTTGTGATAAATTTGAAAAATATAGTAGTTGATAAGGTGTTTGCCCTCCCCTTGCTATTTCAAATTCTCAATGCATAAATTTTTAGCCCCCTCATTCAAATTTCTAGCTCTGCCACTGTAAGCCGCCTCCTTGAAACCATTCGAAGAGGGCTTATCACAATGAATATGAGATTACATGGCGGTGGACATGGATGTAACGAGCTGCTCGACTGACAAGAGCCAAGAAAAAATCGGACAGCAGGCCAGGTCCAAGGAGGACGGGGAACCAAAGAAAATGGAAGAGAGCCCAAACAAATAAAGAAAAAAAAGGGTAAATACAATTTAATATCCAAACCTTTTATTTTAAACAATATAATAGCCAAATATTTTTGAAAACAATATAATATCCAAATCGTCAACTTTCTGTCTGTTTGACCGTTAGTTGACACTTCAAAAAAGTTCGAAGTACGACACTTCATCAATATCCATCGATATCTTCTTTGAAAAACCACCAACATATCGTAGTTCCAAATCCGAGAAGTCTATGACTCCACCATGATGGTATAGAATATCTAAATATTCAGTCATCTGCAATGCCAAAACAAGAAACAAAGTTGTATTGTGACAATTTCCCCTAAACAAAGCTTTTTTGAAGTGTCAACTAACGGTCAAACGAACGGAAAGTTGACGATTTGGATATTAGATTGTTTCCGAAAAGGTTTGGCTATTATATTGTTTAAAATGAAAGGTTTGGATATTAAATTGTATTTACCCAGAAAAAAAGGAACCCATAGCAAAAAACACCCCTGCAGAAACGCAACCCAACCGGTCCAGCAAGATTAAAAAAACCCTAGCAAAAACGAATAACCCACAGTCAAACCCGCCAAAAGCCCAAAAGAAAACTGAATTGCTATTCGTCGCCCTAAAATTCAAATTTTATCGCCCTAAAACGCACTAACTAGACATATTTACCCCTCGACTAAAAGACAGATTTTATTATTCCGAAATCTGCTTTGTCGCCGTCGTCGCCGGCCTCATCCTGGCTTTCGGCCTCTTCCGCCGCGGCGCCGCCCACCAATCCCACCGCCAAAGCTCCCCTGAAGACGTTTAATTCAATTCTGTAGGAGTGAGCAAAGGAGTGAGATTTGGCAACATGAAACTGGCGCCTCCCACCAATCCCGCCGCCAAAGCTCCCATGAATACCATATTAATTCAACATGACAAGTACGACACTTAGAAATGAGAACTGTAGGAGTGCAGCAAAAAAATTCTGTTTTCTGGGTTGGATTAGGAACTATTGGTTTAATTCAATTCACACGTTTTCAAATTACGGTGATCAGGAATTCTTCAGATTGATAAGGTCGTATTATTTGATATCGTGATTAAACTAAGTAATTCAATTTGCTAATATGTCATAAACAATATCTCCTACATAGATAAGTATCAAGAAGATGAAATAATGTAGCTAAAGAACCGAAAAGATGACCAATGTAGCTAAATAATCTCTACTACATAGATAAGTACCGAAAAGCTAAAATAATGTAACTACTCAAGTACTACATGCTCCGGCTCACCCTTGTCTTGTCTACTTTGATGATGTCCATCAAGAGCGAAAAATAACCTTCTTTCCTCTTGGTACAACAATGACCAAGTACCAACAGTTGCCATATCACGAAGATGAGACCACTGAAAACTAAATTGAGGCATCGGTGTAACACCTCTGACGTCTGCAAGTTGAAGTCGAACCCAATGTACTCCAGTATGAACGAGGGCATAAACATGAACTGGAGACGTTATCCCTGGTGGCGCTGTCACGGGTAATGCACTATACCCATATGTCCCATCATTTGCCCGCCCGAAGACTGAAAATACACAATTGTGCATTGTCGCGAATGCTAGTAGATCCACCTCCTCAAACCAATACTCGTTGCCACACCATCCCGAATTCCTTTGATCCAACCTATGAATTACTTGCTCTAGTGTCCCATCGTAATGTCTACTATATATAGAATCCCATCGACTAGTAATCTCTCCAATAACAGCTTGCCTCATCTCTAAGTAGTAACCCTCGTCCCCATGAATAATGTGTGAGATTGCTCGAAACCCACAATGACCATCCCCATCGGGGTTAAACCAAGCTCTAACAAGATGGTGTATGCTAGATGGGATGTACGGGAGGTATGGACACATATTCCTTTCACTATGGAATTCCCACAATTGACTCTTTCGTGCACGACCTAATGAAATCAAGCAAGTGAAACAATATGGAAACTCTTATAAAAAAAAACTAAGATATCAGCACACAAAAAAAAAATAGTACAATCAAAATCATATTTATGACTAACCTGTATGTGTTGACCTCATAGGGGGAGTGGGATCTGACATCGGGGGAGTAGGATCCCTCATCGGGGGAGTGAGATCCCTCGTCGGAGGGCTTGTCCTGCTGGTATTACTTCTGCGTGCCTCTCGTGATCTCTCGTGCTCAAACCAAGAACGTTTTCGGGCGTTCTCCCTCCTAGGTGGTCGACCTCTCGGAATCTCTGCATCCCTAGGCTCAAGAAGACCCATGTCCTCGGGGAGAACATGAGCTCGAAGTGATGGAATAGCTACTCGAATATAATTTGGTCCTCTACAACGTACCTCCTCCACCATTTTGTCGAAAATATCGCTCTCAATAGCATCATGGTCCTCCCACTGTGCACGATCAGGTGGATCATGGTAATTTAAAGAAGACCAGAAATGATGTAAGTGGTGTGGATACAACTCTAAACCTTTCTCACTGAACCTCTGCATTGTGCATAGACATGGAAGTCCATATGTCTCTGGTAGCACGCAACCGCACCTCTCAACATTCTTCCTACTTCCTTCTCCCCTCAATAGCTCAATCGCCCATGAACTAACCTTGTTGTTCAAGTGCACAAAAGGCGGTCCATATGCCCATGTAAATACCTATTTAAATGAATACATAACCTAAATAAGAGAAAGCATATGAAAATTATTATCACAATTCAATCAAAATGAATTTACCTTCAATCGTGATTCCTCTAGGTCCTTTCGCAATTCAATCACTCTACCTTCCACACAAGCATGGAATCTCATGAAGAGTGAATCAATCTTGTGCCTAGAAGTGTTAAGCCATGACTTCAAAGAGGAGTGAGCTGATTCCACCCTATTTGTGCTCGTGTTGCCAATATGAAACACACGATTGGTGTAGCAATTAGCCCATTTACTGGCACAAGATAGCCACTCGCCTCTCAAGTAGTTCATCAATCGTCCATTGTACCCCCAACGACTATTTTGTAAGTCCACCCAAGCACTATCAAATCCTTCTTGGGTATTGGCATACAAAAATGTTCCCCAAGGACCTCCAACAAAACCCTCTGCGACTTCTCTACTCATTCGAAAGCTCATGAGTTTGGCTTCAATGTTCTTCTTCATATGCCATACACATAATAAGGGAGTAGATTCTGGAAAGATCTCGCGCACTGCAACACCCAATCCTCCCTCCTTATCTGTGACAATAGCATTTGGGATCCTACCACCAAGCACACTCTTTAGTTGCGACAAAACCCAAGTGTATGTCTCCTTTTTTTCATCTGCCACAAATGCAAACCCAATGTTAAAGTTCTTCTGCACCGGAGTAACACCAACCAACTGAACCAATGGCTTCTTATGCTTGTTGGTTTTGTATGTCGAGTCTATTAGAACAACGAAATACCAAGCACTCAACATCTGAAGAGACTCCGGGTGGCAAAGGAAGAGATTAGTAACATGACGATCAATATCAAATTCACACTCAACGAAATACCCGAGCTTTTGAGCTTCCCTCAATGTCCACTGCATGGGTTTCATACCACCCAATCTCTGTTGCCGAATCTTGCCAGTTTCATTGTAAATTTGTTTCATGTTGTGGTGAGCATCATACGTGTCATTCAGAGACTTCTTCATTTGTTTCGGCTGAGTCATCATTGCCTCCATTTTCTTGATGTCTTCCTTCTTCTCCTTTGTGAGAGTATTTCTTTGGCTGCTCCCTTCAGAATAAATCTCAAGTTTATGATTATGAAACCCCCTCACACCATCAATTCTCCATTTCAAAGAACCATCCACCAATATTGCCCGTACTACCACTCTGAATCTGCAACCCAACTTGCCCGTCTTCGTATTATTCCGCCTTGGCTTATCAGGATCTGGGATATATGTTATGCTCCTGCAACCATGGTTGCAATCCATATATATCCGCGGATTCGTTTCTCCCAGATTTCGTTTGATTGTGGACACTATCAAGAAAAAGCCGAGAGATTTTGCTATCTCCTTTGCTGCTTCCCGAGCTTTGTCCTTAGTATCATAAAAACCTGCACTCTTGAAGAATTGGGTGTAATCAACTTTGTCACCTTCGTCATCTCGAGAACCACCCTACAAAAAACATACAAAAATGTTCAAACCAATCCACCATTAGTCAATAAAATTTATTTATTTATTATAAACTTTATTTAAATAAGTACTTACCGTATTACTCATACCAAACTCCTTATTATAGCAAGGGTGTTGTCAATTGTGTAGCAAACTTCAACAAGGTTTTCTCCCTAATAAAGAATAATATTAGTACAAATTAGAGATAATTTAATCCAAAAATTATATAAATTATGTCCGGATGTGACACTATAAAATCTATATGGAGATTATCAACTGAGTAATAAAAGTAAGTAATACTATCCTCCCACAAGGATTGATACAACTTCATATTTAATGATTATATCAAGGAATTGAAAGAACAAAAGTGTTTTTTGTAGTAAACTAAAGACAATGTAATAACTAAACTAGAAAACAAGTAGGAAGTTAACTTGGAGAAAAAATCAACAGAGAGAAGCTCTCGGAAAAGAAGGTCTGAAATTCACTACCTAATTGCCTTATTCAATTCGTTTAAATCATAGAAATTCGATAGCCACATCCTACAGTCTTCCCCCATAAATTAAGATTTAGTTCATAATCATGGAAAACAAACTAACAAATAATTCTAAGTTCAACATCTTAAAATTCAAGAAATAGAGAAAAATATAAAAATGTATCACTACGAATCAGGAGTCACCACGATTACATTTCATTTACCTGAGAAACCCAAGGCGAGTCTTGCACTCAGATGAAGGATTCCGGATTTAGACTGGTACTCTTCTGCCCCTGTATCGGTCAAAGAACTGCACACGCGATCGTAGTAAGGAACGAGTTAGATTACTTTGTTACAAATGAGACAAACATAGAGAATGCTAATGGCAATACATCAATAAGCGTAGTCTTTGCTACGATTACAGTGAGTGCAGCAGGCGAGACAAAATTCTATAGCATTCTGAATGCCGACATATACTCAAATGTAGGTAAACTTGTTCAAATTAGATAACATGTGGGAGTTGATCTCCCCATCAGATTATTTACTTGCTCCTAACAGGCAACAGCTTTTTACCTGCTCCTCTCCCTCGATGGCCTCAAGCTTTTTACTTTGTTACAAACGAAGAAAAGTATGCAGCTTTTTATTTATTGATGTTCAAATTAGATAACATGTGGGAGTTGATCACCAATTCTATAGCATTCTCTAAGCGCAAGATGCACAGCAGAAATAACTAGCCAGCTAGAATCAGATGTAGATACTAGATACAAGTTCCAAAACTAAAGCATAGACAGATATTACTACTTTGGCGTCGTTGGTGACTCCTGATTTACTAACCTCAACTCTCTTCTTCTCCAACTTCTCTGGCGGCGGCTGGAGATATGTCCCAAGTTATGTCCATGAAAAGCACCTTTATTCAGCAATGTTTCCGTGTCCCAGTTGAAAAGGAGTCTGCCGGCCGAATGTTCCGCAGGCTAGCCGAGACAGATTTTTTTTATTTTTATTTTCCGGTTATAATTTGTTTTGAGGTAAGTTTTAAATTAACTTAAGGGCATTATAGTAAAATAAATTTAATTAGGGCGACAAATAAGGATTTTTAGGGCGACGAATAGCAATCCCCAAAGAAAAACAGAAAAGACCAAAGCTCAAAACGGCCCACATAAAAAGGAACACATCACAACCATCCTTAGTTCTTTACTAAAAGAACGGGCCCACATAAACAGAAAAACAAAACAAGACCACCTAAAATTAGGGCCGGCTATTTGATCCCGGACTGTTTGGTTTTACCTGAAACCGGATCGTATAACCCGGACAGGGACCGGACTGGGACCGGATAGCAAACAATGCAATCTCATATTCGGGCTTAGATTTGAGGTAAAAAACCAGATAAAGACCGGATAAGAGATCCCCAGCACCTAAAATCAAGATAAAATTGGGACCGGACCGGATCAAGACCGGACTGATCCAATCCAATCTTTGGTCTTTATATTCCATAACCCTTTCTTTATTTATTTCTTTGCTTTCTTCGTCTAATCCTAATTAGTATAGTAATTTTATATATTCTAATCACGAGTATGAACGGGTCCATACATGACTCTCCAACAATCTAGAGAATTAGTAATTGAATCATTAACCACTAATTTTTCCAGCTCAATGTCGAGTCAAAGTAAAAACAAATATATATGGTTATTACTTATTAGAAAATCGTCATTTTCCACTATGGTACTTGTAGGCGTGAAATTTTAAGTGAGTTCCAGTTTGTTTTCATTTTGCTTCTCTCTAGAGTTTTTCTTTTTCATCCGGGCTAGAATTTTCTACAATTATACATGGAATGTTTGGCTAGGTATCTAAACATATCAAATAAATAGTTTTCATTTTTCGATAAAAAAATAAATAATTACCATTATAAATACATCACCATAAAGGAATTAAGCCTCAACTATGCTAATTAAAGTTCGGTATCTAAACTTAATAGATCTTTCGATTTATAACATAAATTTTTTTTGGGATATAAGTCCTCAAAATATTGATGGAACATTACATTTTAGTACCTAAAATTTTTGTTTATTACATTTTGGTACCTAAACTTTTGAAGTTCTACAAATAAGTCTAATTTTAGTATCTGTAATCAAAACACCCTCGAATAAATGGGTATCCATACCCTATTCATACACATTTAAATTATAGAAGTAAATATCCACACCCTACCCAAACCCATCTACAAACTTTCAAACCCATATATATGTCATCCATACCTTACCCTTAACCAATTGAGTATCTTCATGTCCTTTGCTCTTGCTGCAAATGATCAAGTATACATATGGGTTTATACACATTTAGGGCTGTCAATTTGGTTTGGTTTAGTTTGGTTAACCAAACCATTAAGTATGAAAAACCAAAAACCAAATCCCAAAAACCAAAACCAAAATCATTAAGCCCCTTATTGGTTTTCGGTTGCCAAAAACCAATAAGAGTTTTAATGGTTTTGGTTTGGATAACCAAAAAACCAACATGTATTCATATACTCATATTGATTCTCATTTCCCTCCTTTTTATTGAATAAACGTCATAATAATGGTAAATGACCATTACAAATTATCGGTTGGCATGTGTGTCAAAAGAAACAAAAAATAATATTTGTTGATAAATAATTTTATTCTTATTGGTTTCTTAATGGTTTCTATTGATTTTTCGGTTTTAACCAAACCAAAACCATTTAGTTGCTTATTGGTTTAAAATCGAAAAACTGAAACCATTAGTTTTCCAATTGGTTTGGTTTCGGTTAAAACCAAAAAATAAAAACCAAATGGACAGCCCTATACACATTTGATTTTGTATTTGAAAATTATTTTTTAACTTTTTTATACTGCATACCTATAATATGATTTAGATGTAGGTTACTTTGTTTAGTATATAATAAGCAATGGTCTCTTTTGAGTTTCACGTTTAGGGATTGGGGTTTACATCCTTTATATAAACAATTTACAATGCATTTTATGTCTTTTTTTTATCATAATAAAGTAAGTGACAATTATTTTTTCCCCCAAAAGATCACTCGTATTACCGAGAAAACAACCAGGTACAAATAGTCACATAGCTAATAATATCCAAGAAACAAAATTGAACCCCACTAAGGAGGGGACAACGAAAGGGGTTTTTTTGCCGCCAAGTGGGCAACCCTGTTACAGTCACGACCAACAAAGATAACCTTAAACTCCTG